AATCGTTAAACAGAATCGAAAATGGAATCGGAATCATGGAAATCTTATCAATACCCATCCCTAAACCTAAGTAAAAACTGGGATGGGCCGTGACAAACAACTCATATGAAAGTCACTCGTTGCTCCCTAAAGTCATCTTATGATATAGACTGCAGGCGCGCTCTTGTTCTGAAATTGAAGAGATGAAACCTCTGCTGAAGAAGTGAAATGGAACAGAGAATCAAATAGTGCAGAAAAAATGTGCTAATGTGTAAAGAGTGTGCACATTAGAAGTTCAGCCGTCATGTAAGCTGTGAAAAATGGAAGACTGTTAAGGGAAGAATGGAGTGGGCATGTTGGAGAAAAGAACGCTGTCCTCCAGACTTTAAAGGAAAACATTTTATTTATATTTCATGAAACAATAAGGCTAAACATACTTTGTTGCCATAGCTTGCAGCTAAAATACACCTGGTGATGATGCAGGAGTTGCTATGATAATGATACATACAGCTCTTGTTCAGTCTCCGTCTTTAAACTCAAAATGAGTTTTTGAGACAAAGACAAAAATAATCTCACTCAAAGTAACCACACACACACACACACACACACACACACACACACACACACACACACACACACACACACACACACACGTGTGTGCATCCAGTTCTGACCTGCCGTTTTTTACTGTTCATCAATATTGTGCTCCATCTTCACATTGTACTGAAACAATTGCTCAACTCTTATTGTCATTCTCCTCCTGGATCTCAGCTCTGGCTGAATGCTCGCTTGTGGTGGGTGGAGGTGTGATGTATGGCACCATCACTTCATGGCACTGCCTCCTGCCCTCTTGAATAACAGACCACAATCAACCAACTGACAGTAAGCACGATGCCAGGAATCCCAGGAGATTTCTGCATGTAAACAGAAAAACAGATGGCCAAGTTGCCAAACAAGTTTTTCTTCTACTTGCTCTCCTGATGGCATAAGGGGACTCTGGGGGGAGATATTTGGCTTTATCTAGGAGTCCAGGCAGCAGAGCTATATAAACCCTCTATACACATTGAATATTCTACTATATTCTCATAAAAGTGTTCTATTAGGTTGAAGTCAGGACTCTGTGCAGGCCAGTCAAGTTCTTCCACACCAACCTCTTCATCCATGTCTTTATGGACCTGGCTTTGTGCACTGGTGTGCAGTCATGTTGGAACGGGGAGGGGCCATCTCCAAACTGTTCCCCCAAAGCTGGGAGCATGGAATTGTCCAAAATGTCTTGTTTTCTTGAAGCATTAACAGTTCCTTTCATTCGAACTAAGGGGATGAACCTAGCTCCTGAAAAACAACCCCACACCACAATCACCCCTACACCAAACTTTACATTTAGCACAAAGCATCAGACAAGTACCGTTCTCCTGGCAACCACCAAAACCAGACTTGGCAATCTGAGTGACAGAAGGAGAAGCATGATTTGTTACTTCATGGACTATAGAGCTAGAGAGAACACGTCTCTACTCCTCAGTGGCGGTGTGGTTTGCACCACTGCATCTGATGCTTTGCATTGCTCTGGGTG